ACCTCATAGAAGTGGACTCTTATCATTGTCCTTCGGTGTCTGGCTTATTTTACTTAGCATACTGTCCTCACGGTTCGTCCGTGTTGCATTTTTTAAAAATTTAATTTCTATTTTATATCACAGTAAGCTGATTCGCAATACTGCGTTAGTTTCAGGCGAACAGTAGAGTGACTCATTTATACATATACACATAACCACTCTTTTTCAGATTCTTTTCCCATGTAGATTATTATGGAATATTGCGTAGAGCTTCCTGGGCTGTACAGCAGGTCCTTGCTGATCATCTATTTCATATATAGCACTGTGTATCCAAGTTGTTACATTTATCAGAATTTCCTTTCTCTTTAAAACTGGAAAATATTCCATGATACGTACATGCCACATTTTGTTTATGCATTTATCCGTCAGTGGGATACCTGAGTTGTTTCCACCTTCTTGCTACTGTGAATACTGTTCAGGGGTATAGAAATATCTCTGAGTCTCTTTCAATTCTTTGGGTATATATCTATAAGTAGAATTGCTAAATCACATTGCAATTCTACCTTTTTTCCCGAGGAACTGCCATACTGTTTTCTGTAACACTGCCTCACTTTAACAACCACCAACAGGGCACAAGGACTCCGGTTTTTCCGCATCTCTGCCCCTAGTTACATGTTAGGAGACAAGGCACACCACCGTGACATATCTACTTCATTTCAAAACCTGCCATCATAGCTGGTTCATCTTTTCCCTCCTTCTCTCAAACGTTTATCTCACATCGATTTTTTTTCCTATCAAAAGCCCAGTTGGGTTAGTTTTGGCTTGGGGCCTGGGTGCACAGAGTGGCCAGGACACCGGGAATAAGCCTTATCGTTTACAATTATCATAAATTATCGTACATTATATTGTTGGGGCATTTTGCCGCGTGTAAAATGCTTTTACATTTGTTACCACTTTGATCCTGTCCTATAAAGTCAGTAAAGCATTTGTTATAATCCCCCCTAAAGATGGAGACGTTGGGGCTTGTAGAAGCTCAGTGTCCTGCTTAGGTTATGTGGCCAATGGGACACCTTCTGACTTGAGAAACATTTGCTGCTTTTCCCATCATACTGTGAGATTTCTCTTTCCACTCGACAGGCACAGAGACCAGTGTGATTATTCACTTTCCAGATGTAGGAAAGAAAGAAGCAAGTAACTTCTGACTCAAACACTTCACGCTGCTGTAAGATATGCAGTTAGTGTCTGTATTGGGCTCTGTATGTGATTCTCTCTAAATTCTCTTGGTCCCACCATTGGCTCTAGCCACTGCTGCAGCAACCAAGTCCAAGAGGCTTAGACCAGTTTCTCTTCTGTAGAACCAGATTCTGCCCTGGGGTTCCCTGAAGAAACATCTGACTTCATGGTGTGGGGTACCTGTGGGAACTTCTCATCACTCATACCTGTGCACTCTGGAAGAACGGTGGAGGTACAACTCACGGGATTACCTTTGATCATTTGGAAATGGAACTAAGTGAATAAAGAGATTAATGTCTCCCAGAATGATATTTCTGAGATGCATTCCATAAGAGGTCCTTTTCCAAAAGGGCTGAGAGAGGAGGCAGGGGGAAAGAGAGAGAGGTAGTGAAAGAGAGACAGAGAGACTGGACCAAAGAGAGTAAGAAGTCTTAAATAAGAAAAACAGACTCAGACACATAGGATAGAACAAGAAAATATAATATGTATGTGACTGGAATTCTGAAGGATAGAATGGGGAAAATCAGTATTAGAAGATAGTGTTGGAGAATTTTCTAAAATTGATAAAAGATAAGAATTCTTAGATGCAGGAAGCACAATAAATCACAGAAAAGAGAAGTAAAATGAAATCCATACCTTGACATAAAGAAGTAAACTGAAAAACAACAAAGATGATGGGAAGATGGTAAAAGCAGACAGAAGAGATGGGTCGCTCCCAAAGGAATAGCAACAAAACTGGCAGATGACTTCACAGCAGCAGCAATGGAAACCCAAAGAGAAAGTGACTGTTAACCTAGAATTGTGGACATGGGTTAACTATTGTGTGAAGGTGGAAATGAAATAAAGACATCTTTAGGCTTCCCTGTGGCTCAGACGGTAGAGAATACAGGAGACCCAGGTTCGTTTCCTGGGTCTGGAAGATCCCCTGGAGAAGGGAATGGCAATCCACTCCAGTATTCTTGCCTAGAGAATTCTATTGACAGAGGAGCCTGGCGGGCTACAGTCCATGGGGTTGCAAAGAGTCGGACACGAATGAGTGATTACACCTTTTCTTCTTTAGGGAGCCAAACTGCAAGAGTATTTATCACCAAAAGGCATTCACAAAGAATTTTTGATGATGTATTCCAGAAAAAAGGAAACTGATCCCAGAAGATATGAGAGTCAAGAATGAAGAATAAGCAAACACTGACTGTAAAATAATAATTTGCAGAGGAAAAAATTCAACTAAAATATTGCATGATGTCATGTAAGATGGAGAGAGGATAATTGAAGAGTTCAAAAGCCCTTTATTGTTCAAGAGAAGCACAGAGATATAAAAATTTAGAATTTCCAGTTACTTATTCATATTACAAGCTCAAGAATAATTACTGGAAGAAAAAAATAGAATGTATAATTCTTATAACAGGAAATATAAAACAATGGAAAATTTCCCTTAATCACTCTAAAGGAAGCAGAAAAGATACTAAAAAAAAAAAAAGACCAGTAGAAAGTTCACAATTAAATAGCAGAAGTTCAGTTCAGTTCAGTTCAGTTGCTCAGTCATGTCTGACTCTTTGGGACCCCATGGACTGCAGCACTTCAGGCCTCCCTATCCATCACCAACTCCCGGAGTTTACTCAAATTCATGTCCATTGAGTTAGTGATGTCATCCAGCCGTCTCATCCTCTGTCGCCCCCTTCTCCTCCTGCCTTCTATCCTTCCCGGCATCAGGGTCTTTTCCAATGAGTCAGTTATTTGCATCAGGTGGCCAAAGTATTGGAGTTTCAGCTTTAACATCAGTCCTTCCAATGAATATCAGGACTGATTTCCTTTAGGATGGACTGGTTGGATCTCCTTGCAGTCCAAGGGACTCAGAAGAGTCTTCTCCAACACCACAGTTCAAAAGCATCACTTCTTTGGCACTCAGCTTTCTTTATAAAAATAATGGTTATAATTACACACTAGTTATTTAGTAATTAAACGAAGCATATTTACAAATGAAAAGATGGAGGTTGTCAGATTGAATATAAATAACCAGATGTTGCAAACTTACAGACAGCGGGCAGTTCTGAGAAAGCCTTGGCAGGATGAAGAGGAGTTCCGGAATTAAGGCTGCCCCATAGATGGGTCCTGCATGATGTAGAAATGGCCCAACCCCAGTGCTCCCACCATGGAGGAACTGCCGGGGTGAGGCGTGACCCAGGGGTGAGTACCACCATGGATCTGAAGACGTGACATCATCAGTTACTCTCAAAATGTGAGAAGACTTATCTGTGGCCACCACAGAGAGAGGTGTCTTCACATTTAAAAGAGAGGCCTTGGGCCAGCTTTGTAGGTTTTTCTGAGTAACGGTTCTGCTCTTTTCAACTGAGATTTAGGGAGAGGAGAGAGTGATTAGAGAGAAGGTTAGTAGCAAGAATTATAGGGTGCTCTGAGGGAGAGGGGGCTCACCAGTCACAAAGAAAGGGGTCTGGAGAACAACCTGGGAAGGTTGGCAGGGATCAGCTGGGGCTTGGGGACATGTATGAGTTCAGAAAGTCCTGACTCCGACATGGTAAGCTTCAAAGAGCCAGGCTGGTCAAAGCTGCCTGCGACCAGGGAACGAGGAGGGTGTGCGACTGTGGCCATGACCTGGATGGACAGGGTGCAAGGTGGCTGGGTCCACCTGCTCGGACACGTGATGCCTGCAGAGATGCACGATCAGTGAGAAGCTCACCCGGAAGCCAGGACCAGGACAGGCTCCCCACCAAGCCATCCCAGAGCAGCCAGTCTGCGCGAAGCCAGGGGAAGAGGTAGAACAAAGAAGAAAACAGCCTTTCCCTTCCCCAGGCAGGCTTGTGAGCTTTGGGCCCACTAGGAGCTAGAGGCTGGCAGGAGAGGGGGGGAGGCAGGCAGGCTCAGGTGCAGTGAGACCACAGTTTTGACTTGGATTGTACTGGATTTTTTTAATATCAGAGAATCAGACTGTTTATTAACAGCTGAAAGTGACAGGAAAAGCTATGAAGTCTGCCCTAGATTCTTCCCGAGGAGACAGGAGATCTGTTAGAATAATTTTAAAAGACAGCGGTGTGAAAAAAGGTACTGTACCATTTCCTGATTTCCCTTCACTAAGTAGTCCAGCGGTGCTTCAAATATTAACTGGTGTAAAATACTGCTTAATGTGGTAGTTAGGACAAAGACCCCTAAAAAGTTGAAAGTGAAAGTGTTAGTCGCTCAGTCCTGTCCGATTCTTTGTGATCTCATGGACTGTAGCCTGTCAGGGTCCTTCATCCATGGAATTCTCCAGGCAAAAATACTGAAGTGGGTGATCTTTCCGTTCTCCAGGGGATCTTCTTGACCCAGGGATCGAACCCAGATCTCCCCCATTGCAGGCAGATTCGTTACCAACTGAACCACCAAGAGAACACCTCTAATTAGGGCGGGGGCCAGCACCCACATTTCATTTTTATAAGGGCAAATGCTTATCCCACTGACATTTGAACCCAAGGCAGCGGAAGTTCTCTGACCTGGCTCTCCTCTTGAAGCCTGCCACGCGCGCTGCTTAGGAAAGCCGGGAGCACTTCTTAGAGAAATAAATTAACATATTTATTCCTGAGAGGCTCTCTAGCACCCCTCTACCAGTGTTAGCCGCATTTGGTGTTTATTAGACACAGATAAACCCGATTCTCGAAAGAAACGCCTGNAGCGGGCGTGGGCGGGCGGCGGCGGGGACCGCGCGCGGGGGGCGCCCCTGCCTCCTCCACCCGCGCCGCCGCCGGCTTCTCCCCGCAAGTTTGTGGCCTCCCCACCCCCGTCTGCGGACCTGCGCGGCCGCTTGGCCGGGTGCAGACCTGTCGCCAAAGAGGAAAACTCGAGCTGGAGGCGGAGGAGGCGTGCGGGAAGCCGGTCCGCAATGAGCCTCTCCATCAGGGCAGCGTGGCTTCCTGGGCACCTCCCGAGGCTCTTTCCCACCCAGGTGAGCGGAACCTCCTCTGCCCCGTCCGGCCGGGCCTGGCGGGGCCCCGGGGCCGGCGCTCTCGGACCCTGCGCGGAGCCGGGGAGCGCCCGCCGCGGGGGCGCTGGGCGGCGCGGGGTTGATTTGGGCTTTTCTGCCATCCGAGCGCTTGTTCTCTCCTGCCTGCATCACCTGCTCCGGCTGAGGTTTTTTTTGCAGCTCCTCCGGCACCTTCGCGTGCTGTCAGGTTAAACATCCTCTGTTTTCGAAGGGCTGGTAGGTTGGTTCAACCGAATCCCTACCTCTCCATCCCGCCCCCCCTCCCGCCAACAACACCCCCAGCTTTGGATAATTTGTTCTGCGTCTTCGTCTTAATTTAGTATGAATGTGTTATTTCCTTTGAGCTGTGTAATGGTAAAGCAGCAAAGCGGTTTGCTACATCCATTTTTTTTTTTTTTTTCATTCTGAGCCTGTGCACAGAAGGAATTTCAGGCGCACAAGTGATGTTACTACCATTCTATTTTAAATACAAACACGGAAAGAAGTACTCTTGGCAGGATACCAAAGGCGCCTGTACTCTCTGTTATATAAGTGCTTTTTAAAAAAAATATTTGCTCATTGGTAAAGTTATAAAAGGAATTACCAGAGCATCTCTGAAAAGAGGATGAAGAGAAGTCAGCCACAATTTCGGCTTTAAACCAAAACTTTCCTGGAAGATGAGCATGGTCTTAGCTGGAGATAGCCTTAAAGATAGCATAGAGCCCTTTCTTTGAACTTATTAGGTAAAATTATAAAACGTTAAAAAAATAGCATAGGTTTTGTAAAGGCTCTTAAGAGACTTGGTGAAAATTCTTTAACTACCTATTGATAGTAATAAAAAAGATCCCACAGATATTCTTTGTGGTTTTAAACACAGTGACTTATTTTATTTTTTATAGCTGATGGAAACTTAGTAATATGAGCTGCCAGTTATTAAAGATTTAAATAACCTTTAATATCTCTACTTGTGTTTATGGATTTTTTTTTTTTTCAGGGTAGAAGACAGTAGTAGGAATATCAAGTATACTGATGTCTGGGCACCTCCTTTTGTGACCCCCATCTCAGTGTTCTATTCTAATTGGGTTTTGGTGATGCTGTGATATTTGGATTGTTAAACTCCCTAGTGATTCTAACCTGTAGCTGAGGTGAGACCCATAGGATAGCACCGTTTCTTCTAATTTGTCACTTTGTAGCCCAAAGTGTGGCTACAGTAGTTTAAATAAAGTAAAAAATAAGTGGTTAGAAATATGGGGAGAGAAAAATGGTACAGGAAAGGAGATATGTTGAAGAATAATAGCATGTTCACTTCTGTATTTTGCCAAAATATCTTCTTGATTTTTTAAAAATCCACAAGGAGTTGATATTGTTGTTTAGTTGCTAAACCATGTCCGACTCTGTGCGACCTCATGGACTGTAGCCCACTAGGCTCCTCTGTCCATGGGATTTCCCAGGCAAGAATACTGGAGTGGGTTGCCATTTCCTCCTCCAGGGGATCTTCCTGACTCAGGGATCCAACCTGTGTCTCCTGCGTTGGCAGCTGGGTTCTTTACCACTGAACCACCAGGGAAGTACCCCAGTAGTTGATGTTTATCAGGACATGTGGTCCCCTGTTGACTAAGTTGGGGAGTGGGATATTTCTCTGTGCAGAAGTGACAGTGACGTTGAGTCGTGGTGTCAAGATACTCCTTTCTGTTTACATGGAAAGACAATCAAGTCCTATTAAAAGATCATTCTCTCTATCACATTCAACACTCATTAAGTGAATACAGACTAGCCGAAAAAGTGCAAAAAAGCTTTTATTGTCTTTAAGATTGGAAATAAACCTCACTGCTGAATCAGTGTTTTCTTTCTACCTTATGTAATTCCCAATATCGCAATCTAGGGGTGGATCTTATGGGTGGTTTATGAAGGCTTATGTAAGAGCTGCGACTATGCTTTTTCGTATTCTGTGAAACTCCCTGTTTGGCTATTACATAATTGACACAGTGCTGGATCGGAGAAGCCCAAACAGGCGAAGGATGTACAAGCCCAGCCCAGCACAGGCGCTGTCATAATGAATCGCTGCTGCCAAATTAGAGGGAACAGCAGGCATGGAGGTTTGTGAAAGAGAGATAAGAATAGCATCCAGAGGACCAATGTAAGAGACGACAGTTGTGCTTAGCAGTTTTCTGGAGATTTTAATGCTGCAGTATTAACCTCTCTAGCCTTTTGTGTCTCCCAGCAGAGGCGCCTTGACTGGGATACTAATGAATGTTAAGCTTCAGGGTCCCTTACTCTGGCTCCATCCAAAGCCCCCTGGAGGAACACTGGCAATGTGCTCCCATGGCCATAGAAGTTTGCATTTGTAACTGTGGATTTTTAAAAAAATTTTTTAAAATAAGGAAGACACTCTCTGCCTCTCACCTCCCTTACATCATATAAATGTAAGGCTCTACAAACCCTGAATCTCCCTTGTTTCCTAATTATGTTCAAATGTTAACTTTCAAAAATGCTTTTTCTTATTTCAACATCTGAAGTCTTATGAAAAGACAAAAAAAAAAAAATCTGGCCAATATTGTAGCTGAGCTGCTGAGAAAATGCAGACTGCTAATATCAGGGCTGAGTGGTATTATCAGGAATCAGGTGGTAACGTGGAGAACCAGCTCTGCCTTGCGAACACGCACACACACACGGACTTTTTTGGATCTCAGTGTGAGCCAGAGGCAGAGAGAAGCTGAGACGGAGGCGGTAAGGAAGGAAAGTGGGTTAAAGCTCTTCCACATCTTAGAGAGACGGCTGCAGAGGGAAAAGGGAGAAAAAAATGAACTACCAAAAGCGGCTCCATTAATAAAGTTAATAGCAACACATAGCATCAGCTCCATAGGAGACCTTCCTGTAAACTCCTTACACTCTGTCTTTAATATGAATTCTAAACAGGGAACAAACTCAGGCCTGGAAAATATCCTGCCGGAAAGAAGTGCAGGCTGGGAAGGGCTGGGATGAACTGCTGACTTGTTCCCATTAGCAGTTTTATGGATAAATTGAAGACTGTAATGTCCACCACAGGAATGTTTGAGAGGGGGTTGTTGAAATGGGTGGAGGGTTTTCCTTTTCTCTGAGGTATTTCTATTTCATATCTGAATTAAGATTCCTCAGATCTTACCATCTTGACCCCTTCCCACCAACCCTCATACCCCTTCCACCCACTTATTTGTCCATCCACACACCCACCCCATTTACCTGCCTACCTAACCACCCACCCATCCATCTACCCATCCATCTATTCACCCACCCACCCATTCATCCATGCAGCCTCCCACCTATCACCCGTCCATCCACTCACCCACCCATCCACTCACCCACCCACCCATCCATCCATCTACCCATCCATCTATTCACCCACCCACCCATTCATCCATGCAGCCTCCCACCTATCACCCGTCCATCCACTCACCCACCCATCCACTCACCCACCCACCCATCCATCCATCTACCCATCCATCTATTCACCCACCCACCCATTCATCCATGCAGCCTCCCACCTATCACCCGTCCATCCACTCACCCACCCATCCACTCACCCACCCACCCATCCATCCATCTACCCATCCATCTATTCACCCACCCACCCATTCATCCNTACCCACCTGTTACCCACCCATGCACCTGTCCATCCACCCATCCAAACATCCATCCACAAAGACACTCCCTTTGACCAAACTTTAGTTTGGCTTCTGGAACTGCTGGTGCTTATGAGGGGGGCCTGGTGCTGTAGGCAGGCTCATGGCCAGGGCTTCCCCGCAATAGCACCCACCCCTCTAATTCTGTTGCGGTGGTTTCTCAGACCTGCCCTGGGACCCTCCTCTTTGGTGATGTGAGGTTGTGTTCCTCTTGGGCCTTGGGTGGTGTGTTGGTTTGGGATCAGGTATGGCTGAGGGCCTTGCAGGGCAGCTGGAGTCCCCACACCACTGCATAAGCCAGGAGTAGCGGGGAGGTTGTGTGTCTTCACTCATGGTTCCCACAGGCTTGTAGGAGAGGGGCTTGCAGGAGAGTCTCATTTCAGCCTGGATTCCTGCAGTTTCCTTGGAACAGGTGGTTAAGTGAAAAATGCTGACGCTGGGGAACTACACGGCTCTTTCTTGGGGGATATCAAGAACTTAGAGCAATTTTGGAGGTGAAACTGAACCCCGGAGAACCTCCGGGGCCTGAAGGTGTTGGGGTTGGTTAGGGTCTGAGAAGGGGAGAGTGCTTACTGGCCGGTGAGGCTCCCGTGTGCTTGGATGGCCCCTCTTTGTCTACTAATCAGAAGACATGTGTGTTGACCTGGCAGCAGGCGGTCGTGGATCCCTCAGTGGAAAAGGGGAGAAGCCGGTAGGGGAGCAGCGAGCAGGAACTCTGCGGGAGAAAGGCCTAGCCTTCCGGGGTGCGTGGGGGACGGGGTGGGGGACAGGATCCACAGCTGTTTACTTCATCAGGCCATTAGCGAATAATCATTTCTGTCCCTGACACAGCCAAGGAAATCCTCCTTATAGATTAAGTCCCTTTGGGTTGTTTGCTGGCAGGTTGGAGCATAGGGCAGCCTGAATGAATGAGCACACAGGTAGGTGGCTTTGGGAAGATGGCATGAGTAGGAGGTTGACAGGTGGCATTTGGAAGGTTGTGTGTGTAGGAGGTTGGCGGGCTTACATCTTCTCTGTGCCTGTCACTTGCTGTGTGTGGTCTGTCACATGGCAGGCTTCTTTTACATGCCACCTACCGTGTTTGGAAAATGGGGGCTTGAAGGTTATTCCTGGGTGTTTTGTACTTTGTCCTTAGCTTTTGTAAGCGAGCCCTCTTCTTATTGGCTGTTGTTACATAATTGTTGTTCAGTTGCTAATTCATGTCTGACTCTTTGGGACATCATGGATTGCAGCATGCCAGGCTTCCCTGTCCTTCACCATCTCCTGGAGTTTGCTCAAACTCGTGTCCATTGAGTCAGTGATGCCATCCAGCCGTCTCATCCT